CATATTACAACATAACCAGCGCCAGCAGGAGACAACACACACACACACACACACAGACACACATTTGATACATATTACAACATAACCAAGGTCAGATGTCTGTGATGCCACTCTATATAATGTTTTTGTAATATTGTAAACAATATCTCCAAGCCCCATCAAGAAAATAAACAAACTGTAATCAAAAGGACACACGAAGGAAATGCACTTTATTATACAACGGCTAATGTTTCAGGTGCGATAAACTGATTCGATCCGATAAACAAGATGACACAGCAGAAACTACTTTCAAAATCTATACATCGATGAAATGCAATACGAACCAAAGTGCTTGATCTCTCTCTCTCTCTCTCTCTCTCTCTCTCTCTCTCTCTCTCTCTCTCTCTCTCTCTCTCTCTCTCTCTCTCTCTCAATCTGTCTCTCTCTCTCTCTCTCACCTCGCCTCACCTAGGTGGATATACAAACGGGAGAGAGATAGTGTGCGTGAGTGTGTGTGTGTGTGAGAGAGAGTGTGTGTGTATGTATATGTGTGTGAGTGAGTAATTGTGTGAGGGGATGTGCATGCGGATGATTTACCAATTGTTGCTTAGCATTATTCAAATGATTTTCCGCCGTTACTGTCAAATTCATCTCAGAACACAGTAGAAACCCCGGACCTCTGTATCTCAGCAAGGTCCCTATTGTCAACATAACTACAACAACTGCGTGTCATCTAGGACACTTGGCCCTCGACTCTGTGATTGACGTTTTCTCTTCCACAAGCAAGTCCACAAGCAAGATCCATAATCCGAAACACTGTATTCACCATGATAATCTCAACAACAACGACGGCGTCGACAAAGATAACGACGTCGACCATCATGATAATAACACTGCTGTAACCATAATACGTGTTCGTTGATATGTGCTTAGCTGCCAGTTTCAATATAGAATTTAAACCAGTGGGCGGGATAATTAAGTTGTACATGACAACATATGCGTCATTGCAGCAACGATTAAAAACTGTGTCTATCTTAAAGCACAGAATTATGGAACGCGATTATAGTTACACACAGTACAGCAATGTAAATATGTTTTTTATCAGTTCATCCTCGTGTTGCTCACAAAAAGGTCCATGTGTTTAATGAGTTGACGCTGAAGTTCATCGGAATGTTAAAATCATTATAAGGCACTTAGTAGTTGCCTGAGTAATACACAAACAACCTTTACAAAGCTACACTGTTCAAACATAACGCTGTTTACTGAGAGTAAATGCGCGATCCTTTGTTTTTGTACGTTTCACAAAGTCTTCTTGAGACTGACTGACTTTACAGTTCTGTATTGTAGCGAAGACTGAGCGCACAGCCCCATTAAAGATGTCGATAGTAGCATAACAGTTAATAGCATGTTTACAAAGCATGATGAATGGATTTTGTAAATATCACTTAACCTTTACAACATGGCAGGATGTTAATTTATTGACAGTTAAAGCAAATGGTATTACTGATTTTATTCTAGATGCATTTAGTTGATAATTTTTTGCTCTATCAAGCATGCATAAGTATTGTTAACTTTTAGAAATGTACCGAAAAAGATCTTTCATTACATGTTTATTACATATTCTTAGTGATATATTTAAAACAACTTTTTAAATCTGCACAGACAACTTTACTCAGTTGATGGATGTTCTTAAGGCCTTAAAAATGAGAAGACATATCTCGTGAACAATGGTACTGTAAAAAACAGGCATTAAATGTGTGCATACGAATATTTCACAACACATCTTAGTGTGGGGCGTATTTATCATATCTGATACATGTACACCCGTGAAGTTCCGGGTTAGAACTGGTCGTAAGTAACCAATGCTTGTCGTAAGGTTCACCTAACGGAATCGAATAGTCATTCTCGCTGACTTGGTTGATGCATGTCGCCGTGCCCCAATTGTATAGATCGATGCTCATGATGTCAGGCACTGCATTGTCTGGTCCCGTCTCAATCATTTACAGACTTTCGCTGTCTGTGTCTAAAAGTCGTGGAAAGCGTTAAAATATATGTTTTAATGAAATAACTGAAGAGTAGTGCTTCCTCGAAACGCTGAAATCGGATTAGAAATGTTTGGACTTAACCTTTCGGGGTTATTCGCTGTTCTTAAAATCCTAAATATGCTGAAAATACCCAAAGCTTCGTAATCATTCATAGACTCATCTGATAATTTCATCTCTTGGTTATACAGATCAAGCTGGTCAAACATGGGCTGCTACATTGGTCAAACATGATGTTTTCCGTAATCGTAAGAAATCTCTACTGAAAATATATGTCATTGTCAAAAGTTTATTTTTATTTATTTAAGTCATTTTAAATCTAGTTAAGACACATGTGTGCGTATCCTGCACCAGTGGAGCCACCTCTCACACACACATATGCATTTCCATAAGCAAATACAATCACTTTACGATTCCGACTTCATCATAAGCATACGTATATGAATCAAATATCAAATAATGATGATACCAGGTGTTCACGTAAAGGTGAGCATGTCATGTCCCAACACAAACATCCGTCATAAACACACGCAAACACAAGTAAATATTGTGACATACTTTTGTCACTTACGATTCAAATGTGGAAATGACCTCGACATGTTTACCATAAAACTGTTTGAAAGCTTCACTCGGACCATGAATGGCCCGCTCCTGATGAAAAGCATTTGTAAAAGAGTCGTAGCTTTCTCTTTGCATTTTTCTTAGAATGATCATGTTCGATCGTACGTCAAAAGTTGTGAAATGCCAAATAATGGATCTGCTGAAATCTTGTCGGCGTAAAAGTAAACTAACTATTTGAGTCATCCCTCTTGAAATATACTCATGCCAATAATGGTTGTCACCCCCCTTCCCACCCCATCCCCCCTCTCCAATAAAAAAAATTGAAGGGGGTGACAACCATTATTGGCATGAGTATACAATTTGTTTATCTCTCTGATTTTTTATACATAGGCCTAGATCTGAAATAGTTGACGCCGTTTCACATGTGTCTTTCATTTCTAGTTCAGAAGGTGACCGAGTGGAAGAGCTTTAGCAATAATTACACGACGAAGTACGAATCTGCATGTCTGATTACTACATCACCTACAAGAGATATACCATTAACTGTTCTTCTTCAATGTGTCATTGATGGACCGCTCCTGTGATAAATATATTCATAACTTATTCAGGTCATATAAGTACAAATGGTAACGAACTAAATCTTCACGATTATCGGATCACATGATTATCGGTTGATCAAATCACTTCACACTAAGGTCGACAGTGGCTGTCAATCCCTCGACCACTTCCATCTCCTGTAATCATATTCCAGTCATTCAGATTCGTTTCCTTCAGATCAATCAATCTTGAATATAGCTGTATAGATGTACCTACAGTTCATAACGCCTGTTGAAAGCTGGTCAGTGGGTCGTCAGGTTTTCATGAATTCCGTGGTGATGCATTCAGTTTTCTTGCCAAACAAATCTTGAAAATATTTTTGGCTGTTTTCTCCCTGGCTTTGTTTGTTTCTTTTGTTGTTTAAGGTCGCATCCAGCAATATTCCAGCTATTTCTTCTTTCTAGTTCGTGGCAGCTCAAAGTTCGTGCTCGTGGTGAAGTCTAAAATTTGTATGACATCCGGGTTTCCTCATTGCTTGTGATATAACCGACATATATCTCAACGAAATTAACCAAATCCAGTGGCACAACGTCATTGAAATTATTGGCAGGATTTATACAAGATTTTGCAGTAGATGAATTCGTCGAAAGCATAACAATAACAATATAGAGTATTGTGATAGATTTACGGTCAACTAGGCGTGGGGTATCCTAATGGTTCAAGCGTCCGCTCGTCACGCTGGGGACCCGGGTTCGATTGCCCACATGGGTACAGTGTGTGAAGCCCAGGTGTCCCTAGCGTGATATTGCTGGAATATTGCTAAAAGCAGCGTAAAACCATACTCATTCACTCTCTTTACGGTCAACACTGATAGTTAAAAGGGTGTATAAGTTCTTCCCTAATTTGGCAAATTTCCGTTCCACTGTAAGTTAGGAACCCATTTTGACGTCATTACCAGGGCGACACTGGAAATCGAAACTGGTTTTCATTTATCCACCCTATGGAGTTTAACACTAGACAGTGCCTTGTTGTCATTAATCACAATAGCATTATGTATGTTATGCACGTGAATTACCCTTGAAGATCCGGGTTAGAATTGATCTTCAGTAGCCCATGTTTGTCGTAAGAGTCGACTAACGGGATCGGGTAGTCGCTGACTTGATTGACACATGTCATCGTATCCCAGTTGCGTATATCGATGCTCATGCTGTTGATCATTGGATGTCTGGTCAAGACTCGTTTATTTACAGAACGCCGCCATATAGCTGGAATATTGCTGAGTGCGGCGTAAAACTAAACCCACTCACTCACTATTTGCGTGAATTATTTTTATACGTTCTGATTCGCAAAAGGTACCGATGTTGTTGGTTACCATTGCCAATAATTATTAGATTCGCCCAATATCTGCAACATACTCAACTTATGCATAGCTTAACACACACTACCGTTATCAATTTACAAACAGTGTACAGTTAGCTACGGTTAAAAATACATACATTAAGTAAAGATAGTTTTTCAGTCTTGACTATTTGCACGTTAGATAAGGACACACAAAATGTGAATTCTATAAAAATATTAATGAAGATGATATCTCTCAAGTACATAATGTATAAAATATATTTTTATTAAGAAATATGCCTTGTCTGGGCAGACAAAATTTCATTACGAGACCGACCCTGTCTACACCATTCTCTTGACACAGTCCGGATCACGTTTTACAGTGAAGTCATATTTTTCATCTATTTTTCAGGTCCCAGTCGGAATTTCCCCGCACGACAGACTCATAACTGCCCTCAGAGCAGCACAAGATATTGCAGTTGTGGAGAGGCTCGTGACGATAGAAGCCATCGCATCCTCATCGAATGAAAGCATACTGAAAAACTGGTTAGTTTTCACGGACCAGGAACATAACAAAATCATCGTCTTTTGTCACTGTTGGCTGTATCTTACAGAGATTTCCTTGACGTGTCGAAGGACAATTACCATCTGTTAAACCTCTGAACGGTATGCCCAATTTAGCCAAGTGAGTGTTGGAAAACAGGATTCTGCATGCTTCGTCCTCTGAAGTGTAATATGGTCTCATTCATTACTTTCATCACACGCTTCTCTGTTTATTGCACTGCGGAATGAGACTTCTCCAGCCTTTGCTAATATACTCGGGATTTTATTAAGATGCTAAACGTATTTCTTCCTGCGTTAGGGCGCCAGCAGTACACAAGTGAGTGTTGTGGAATAGTGATGGATCAGAGACTTCAGATTGGAGGATTTTTACTGTGAAAAGAATTGTGCCAGGGTTTTTGTGGACTTGGTGCCAACATCCCAGTTCCTTCTCTGAATTCAAAGGTTCTTTGGGGTTTCCTGCTTTCATTGAATTATTGATAATCAACAGTAACAAATTCTAAACAATAACATTTTTTTCGGAACTGTCTAAGGATCAAAGGACCTCCAACAGACCATCGATTCCTCCGTGTTTACGTCAGTCCTTTGCTATTAATCCTTTGCTATTAAGCTGACAGGTATAGATTTAAAGCAGAAGGTCGAAGTTAAGAGAAAACGGAGACATTTTGGAATTATTTGTGATTTCGGAGCGGAATTATCCTGCTAACATGACGACACCATTATCAACAACGACGATGTATGACACCGGGTTCAACGACAGTGACCTTACGGTATCAACGAACACCACGCCAACCGACGTTTTTTACTTTTACAAGGTATGTATCAATGCAATAAGTATGTGAAATATTCAAACATGTTTGCAACTGATGCCGGTAAAATTATAAAAGATGAAGAACATTTTAAGAAAATTCAGATTATCCATCGGTCGACATCATGAGCACCGATCCAAAGCAACTGGAAACTGTCACGTGCAATAATCAACGTCACATAACCAGATCTATTCCGTCGCCGACAACAAGCATCAATTCCTTGTGACTCATATTCCCAACGTCATCCCCCACGCGCCTATAGAGTATCAAGACAATACCATTGGTGATTCTTTAAATTTAAAGTCTCAAATAATGTCAAAACGAAATGAGGTTGTATGAATATCTGTAACTGACACATGATCACAACTCCTTAGTATCCAGATGTGTGAGAAGTTGTGGGATGTAGGACTATAGAATACCGGTATGTTGATTTGTATACTTTAGACATTGAAGTCACTTTTGACAACATTCATACCGATGATATATACCATTAAAGAAGTAGGGGATATTCCATTTTGCGAGCATACCACTAGCCACTGCCAATGCATATGAGAAAAAATAATATCTGTCCATACAGATGAAAATTTCCAAACGAATGGAATGAATTGTCACATTTTCCCTTAATTTCTCTTCATCATGTGTTTCCTCCTTGGCTTCTTCATTTGCATTTTATCGATCGTGTAAATCCAATATCCCCTACTTTTTTGAATGGTATATATTACATTGAGTGTTTGGTTTCTTCTCTCAAAATTATTGGACTACGTTTATATGTAACATAGAACTGTGTCTGTGTTCAGCTTAAATATATTATCTTTGAGACGGAATATATCTTATGTGAGCTGAAAGTAAATTGCTTTCATACTTTACATACATCTTCCAATCTGTATCATATAATTCATATCGTATGTCTTTACAAGTGCTATTATAACTAGTCCTGTGTAAATGACCACGTCAAAGTTTCATGTCTGGGGTAACAGTAAATATGATGTTCAGTAAGTATGTTCTCTGTAGCCTTCACGTCAAAGTTTCATGTCTGGGGTAACAGTAGATATGATGTTCAGTAAGTATGTTCTCTGTAGCCTTCACGTCAAAGTTTCATGTCTGGGGTAACAGTAGATATGATGTTCAGTAAGTATGTTCTCTGTAGCCTTCACGTCAAAGTTTCATGTCTGGGGTAACAGTAGATATGATGTTCAGTAAGTATGTTCTCTGTAGCCTTCACGTCAAAGTTTCATGTCTGGGGTAACAGTAGATATGATGTTCAGTAAGTATGTTCTCTGTAGCCTTCACGTCAAAGTTTCATGTCTGGGGTAACAGTAGATATGATGTTCAGTAAGTATGTTCTCTGTAGCCTTCACGTCAAAGTTTCATGTCTGGGGTAACAGTAGATATGATGTTCAGTAAGTATGTTCTCTGTAGCCTTCACGTCAAAGTTTCATGTCTGGGGTAACAGTAAATATGATGTTCAGTAAGTATGTTCTCTGTAGCCTTCACGTCAAAGTTTCATGTCTGGGGTAACAGTAGATATGATGTTCAGTAAGTATGTTCTCTGTAGCCTTCACGTCAAAGTTTCATGTCTGGGGTAACAGTAAATATGATGTTCAGTAAGTATGTTCTCTGTAGCCTTCACGTCAAAGTTTCATGTCTGGGGTAACAGTAGATATGATGTTCAGTAAGTATGTTCTCTGTAGCCTTCACGTCAAAGTTTCATGTCTGGGGTAACAGTAGATATGATGTTCAGTAAGTATGTTTCTCTGTATGTTCTCTCAGCCAGCCTTCACGTCAAAGTTTCATGTCTGGGGTAACAGTAAATATGATGTTCAGTAAGTATGTTCTCTGTAGCCTTCACGTCAAAGTTTCATGTCTGGGGTAACAGTAGATATGATGTTCAGTAAGTATGTTCTCTGTAGCCTTCCATCGTTACTCAGGCACACTTGCGTGATACTTGTCCACTGGGGAATCTGAAAATCAGGATGTATACTTTAGATTGCAGTGCATCAGAAATGTTGTAAATGGTATATGGTATTGTTTGGAGTAATGTACATAATATTTGGTTAGGTCTTTCTGCATCATGTAAACGGTTGGGTCACGATGTTTTTATAGAATATTGTAAATGCCTTGTCAATACACAGAGTCGATAAATCGAATTGTAAATATGAAGAAATGGACTACGAATTGTATTATGTTATCCTTTGCCGAGTAAAATATTAATTATTTATACCTAATATATGGTATTTATTGTACGGAAAAACGTTATCATTTCTTTAAGATGTACTGCCTGTTTATGAAGTAATTTGTCTTAATGAAGTAGCTGTAAATAACCGCACATGAATACAATATTTGACTTAATCGTCCAGTTAATCTTATCCTGCAGATATTTTTGTCTACAGAACCCATTGTGAACTCACATTGACTCATTTCAGAATCTCTGTGTATGTAAAATGGGAACGTTAATCAACAGTTTATTGTGAAAGAAAGGCATTTCATCGATGCATAGATTTTGAAAGTAGTTTCTGCTGTGCCATCATCTTTATCGGAAGGTGATACCACGTTTATCGGATCGGTTTATCTCACCTGAAACATTAACCGTTGTATGATAAAATACATTTCCTTCGTGTGTCAATTTGATTGCAGATTGTATATTTTTTTATGGGTCTTGGAGGAATCGTTAACGATATTTCAGAAACAGTAATGCTACATCTTCCAAGTGTCCAAAGATTACTTGCACTTTGGTTTTGATCGAATTTTGCACTAAATATGAATGTTTGAGTATCCTGTTGTCCAAAGGGTGATAACTCTTCTTTTTGAAATGACATAAGCGTCACTCCAATGTGTTGTTTTGGTTTCCTGCTCTATAAAGCGCGGCAAAACTGTGTGGTATGTGGAGACGGAGATAAGCTCAAACGTTTCACTGTTACATCTTCATAGAATGTCGTAAACTAGCACATGTTTTGTAGTGATTGCTAGGATACAGTACCCATCCCTTAGCGACACATAGGGATACGCGCACGCACGCGCGCACGCCCACCGAAAGACTATGGGATGCATTTTCTGCATCACAAAACAACTAGGGTAACATTGCATTGTAGAAGTAATGCAAACTTTGTTTATCATTTCCTGTTTTCGTTTCCGTATGTCGTTAACTATTGTAATATTCACATTTGACAAATAGTTTTCATTCCACGATGGACTGCAACATAATATAAACGGAAACAGATCTACTGGACTGGACTGGTTAACCGTCTACAAGAGTTAGACTACGACGTTCGGCCCAATACATGCGCTGTTCGTTTGAGGCCTGGCCCGGCTGGATCAGCGCACTTAGATAAACTGAAAAATCACCTGTTGCTCAGATCTTGAATATAATTTTTAAGACTTTATTTTGTTATGGTTTTAGTTTAAATCTATACACAACAGTACATGCGAGAACAGGAACATGTTGTTATGATTTTACTGGGGTATTCTCTCTGAAATACCTGCACTTGTTCACAGTCGTGTTTAAAAGGTTATTATTAGTGTCGGCAAAATCAGTATATGTGCCGTCGTATGACTGGATGTATTTTCAGTCACTTACATTTATTTTCCGGTTTGATTGCAGATAGCAGTCGTGTGACTGTAAACGCTAAGCTATTTATACAAATTATGTGAGTAGCGAGTGCTACTGGAGTGGTAGAACATACGGACCCCTTTGGCGAAACACCCGGTGTCATATTGAACATTCAGTAGTAAATTTGTATATTTTTCGCGGCTGTTGTGTCGTTCGCATCGAAAGGAACCAGTTTTGTTCGACAACTAGCGAGGATGGTTATTATACGGCGTGGACGTGCACGGTCTTAAACGTTGTATTTAAGTTTAGAATTTGGATGCTTGAACCCTTCTTAGCTGGCAGGATTTAATGGTTTCTTGTTTCACCAAATCCTTGGTCTGGAACCATCATTGTGCGTCTTCGACCAGTATGACTTTAACATTTTCTCCCATGCAACACTGTTGCATAATGTTATAAATGAACAGCTGTTGTAAATGGCTTTAGATCCCACGTCCACACTTCTTGTGTAGGATTCCCATTGATCCATTAGAAGATTACCCTTGAAAAATATTTGCAGTCGAGCTGAGCGAAGCATAATGTCATTTGAATGAAATCGATTGTAAACGATGTTTGAGAATCCAGTGATTCCTTCGACTTCACTTTGATGTTTCAGTGTGTGCGTGCCAGGCGAACGTTATTAACTCTGGCTCCATAAAACTGTCATATAAATACATATGAAAGTGTATGCTGTAAACAATGTATGTGTATGGGTGTCGGTATTGTAGTAAAATGGAAATTTGTTCCTACAGTAAAGCTTTGGAAGCTTAAACGCTGAATTTGTTATACCTGTATTGTCATATTTTGTGAAAAATGTTGGGGGAAAGGGGGCTTAACGTCGCGTTCAAGGCTGTTGGAGCTGTTGTTGATGTTGTTGTTGTGCCAGTGTGCGAGACTAATGCTGGTTTCATAGTGTTAGCCCACTGAGATACCATGCCGAGGTTTTAACATGGATATCCAACTCATTGAGATACCATGCCGAGGTTTAAACATTGATATCAAACTCACAGAGATATCATGCCAAGGCTTTAACATGGATATCAAGCTCACTGAGATACCATGCTGAGATTTTAGCATGGATATCCACCCCCCTCTGAGATACCATGCTGAGATTTTAACATGGATATCAAACTCACAGAGATATCATGCCGAGGCTTTAACATGGATATCAAACTCACTGAGATACCATGCTGAGATTTTAACATGGATATCAAACTCACTGAGGTATCATGCCGAGGCTTTAACATTGATATCCAACTCACTGAGATACCATGCCGAGGTTTTAACATGGATATCCAACTCACGGAGATACCATGCCGAGGCTTTAACATTGATATCCAACTCACTGAGATACCATGCCGAGGCTTTAACATTGATATCCAACTCACTGAGATACCATGCCGATGTTTTAACATGGATATCC